CAAATGAGAAATTGCTTGTTGGCGATGTCGCTCTCTGGGGAAAACTGTGGTAATCTTTAACCTCCAGTATTGCTGATAGGTGGGGGGTTTTTTTGAGGTAAAGTCTCATTAGAGAACATCTTCAGAATGTTTTTGGCGCTTTAAATTCAAAATCTTCTTTCATGTGGAAGAATGTCTTTTATACTCTCTGAGATTATCAAGCTTACAGGGGTGTTTGGGAAATACTTAATGTGAAGTGGATTTCAGTGTTAAGCTGCAAGCCTTGTCCTGCCTGTCCTTTGTACAGTGTCTGGAGTTAAAACCCTGTCTCTCCTGAACTGTCTATAAAAACTGCAGATTAGATGCATGGGTGTGGTTTGACGTAACAGGGACGTGCTGGTTTCTGTAAACTCGCATCCCTTGAATGTCCTGGCTACCTTTTCACCTTTGTGTTTTCTGCATCAAAAGCTGACAAACTTCCTTTTATTGCAGACAAGACAGAAAATACGAAAGCTTCCTGGTGTCATAGGTGCTGCCTCATGTCTGATTTCACTGATGCTTTCCTTTTGGCTCTCTGGGAAGCAAATATGGCTACTGCAGACATCTTAGTCTCTCAGAGGGCAAGCAACAGTTAAAATTCCTCTTTTTAAGGTGCTGGAAAATTCTAGCAGTGAATTCAAAGTAATGGATGGCATGGAAGAGATGGAACTATCTACTGCAGAACAACAAGGACAAGATATTGTCATGTGCAGTCCAGAGAAGGAGACCTGCACAGACACACCTGCACTTGCTCAGTCTGGAGAACCAAAAATACATCAAACAGGTGCATGTCTTAAAGTATAGTTTGTGTGGTATTGCTGGGGCCATATGGTTATTCTAAAGCTTTATGACAGTCTAAATATTACTTTGAAGTCACCGTCATTGAAGCTTGGTTAATCTCTGTATGCTATTAGCAAAGCCTCCTTTAGCTAGTGTGACTTAGACACGCATTGCACATGAGCAAACCGTGCCCCTCAGATTTTTCTGTATTGTTTCCATGTGATATATGAAGGTGAAAGCTAATAGAAAGGCTTGAGTAGAAGTAAATACAGATAGTTTGGGGTTTGTTTGGGTCGTCGTCGTGTCTTCCCCCCCCCCCCCCCCACACCACTCCCCCCCCCCCCCCCCAGTAAATGCAGAAAATAATACTGTTCTTTCAGCTTTGGCAGCAGCAGACTAACTTTTTTTTTTAAAAAATGAAATATTCTCATTTTTCAGACCTTTCGTGTAGTGATTTGACATCCATTGGCAGAAATCCTTTTGATATGGTAAGTTGACCTTCAGGTTTATTTGACTAAGACAATCTGCATGTTACACTACTGTTAACCTTTCCCACAGAATCAGTTACTGCACGAAGTAAGTTAAAAGTCTGTAAGATGTTATCAAGCCAATTCATATAACTTACTCTAAATACGAGCCACGATTCCTGTCTCCCTGCTCGGGCTCACGCTGTTATTCCTTATTGCACATGATGAGTGTAGGATGAATCAAGACATTTGTGACAGAAGAATGTCTGATTCTTATCAGATTGATCCTTTAAATTATATTTCTTGTGGATTTCCTGGTAAATATTTACTAACCTAATGAATGGCCTGGCCTTTTCCTTCCACTTTCTTCTTGGGGTTTTCCAGGTCTGTCCCATCCTTTTTTTCTTATAGCTTTATCTTTTAGAGCTGGAAGTAAGATTCAACAGGGAAAAGCAGGTGTGCAGAAACTTCCAAATGGTTAAAAGAATTTGGGTGTATGGTTTCCTTGGTGTCATGTGAAAGGCTGTCTTTCAAATATGGATTACTGCTTGAAACGGACCACATGCTCACTTCTTATTTTATGTCTGGAAATAACCTCGCAAAATTTCTCTTAGGAAAGTCATGGCACTTAGAGCAGTACATGATTTTTGAACTGTGGCTGCTGCTTTGAAACAGTATCATATATAAGCAAGCACATTTTGGTATACTTCGTACAGCTACGGAATCGTTGCAGGTTTCGGATCTGCCTGACAGATCCATGCTTTGTTTATTCTGAAGCTGCGAGGTGTCCCCAGTACTGAGAGGCAAGAGGATTGCACGCTTCTCCTGTTCCCTTGTCAAAAGCATTTGCTGCTAGTTTTTTTTTCCCCCGTGATGTTGAAGTGGCCTCTCAAGTGGGTAGGCACCTAACGTACACACGCAGTTGCCTGACAGTAATTACGGTTGGTCTGGTGCTTATACAGATCTTCCTAGAGAAAGGGGAACTTGCTGTTAGCTTATTTTGTGTGTCGTTGCAGTGGTGTTTTGCAGAGCAGATAATTGTTCCTCAGACACTTACTTTGCTCTCTGATTTCTCCCACAGCCAATGCTGGATGATGAGCTTCCCTTCACTCCAGTCAAGACCAAAGCCCAGAAGTTTGCAGCAGCTGAAGCATTCAGTGACCTTATTGTATTTTCTCCCCTTTCTCCCTCTGGGGAAAAATGAAGAGTGACTTGAAATTCAAAATGTGTAAATTATATTAACAAAAAAACCCCACACCACCAAAAAAAAAAAAAACCCACCACAGAGGGTATCTGGAATACAGTCTGCTACCCTTGAACTGTGTTCTGAGCGAATTAATACCTGTAGTATTTTGTAGTGGAACTTATTAAAAATTTTTGTAACATTTTATGGTGCAGTTGTCATGCACTGTAAGTACCGCTGTATATTAGCGGGGCGTTCACTGCTTATTCTTGCTGTATACAATGATTGCATATTCTGACTATAACCTGAAGTATTTTTATTTCTGTATAATTTCATGTATTTCCTGTCTACTTCAAGTTGTAAAACTATTGATCTTTTAAGCTTTTGTGTCCTGACCTTCTTTACCTCATGAGTTGTTATTATAAGACGCCTATAGGCTTGCTGTACCCGTGCCCTATTTCCGATGCGAGGGCATGTTCTGGGGGTAAGGCTCAGCCCGTTGCCTCCCCCAAAGCCGTGTTTCATACTCAGTCGCTGTTGTGAGGGTACTGTTGCACCCTTAGGCTCCAACATTCTGTGCATTAACAACTCTGCCTAATCAGCAGACGTGGCAGGGTTTGATGCATGTAATTCTTTCCTGTGGGAGTCTTTCCTGGTGTTTAATAGTAGAAACTATGCTGTTTCTAGGAAATAGGAAACTATTCCTGTTTGTAATAGTAGAAACTATCTCAGAACAAGGATTTCAAAGTCAGATAATAGCTTAGGCAGTGTATTAAAATAGGCATTGATTCATTATTTCCTTTAAGGACAGTTATCTATTGAATATCTTAAGTACCTTCAAGCCAAACCCTATTCTCTCTTTGCTTTTTCATGTGAAAAATCTCTTAACCTCTTTCTCTGGACACTTGACACGTGAACCTCAGCCTCTTCTTGCATCTTGTTCCTTATGTATTTTCTTATCTGGACTGTAATATATTTATGCATAAGGAGCATGCTTGTTATATATACTCTATATTTGAGTAATAGTATTAGAGTACTTCTAGTTGTTATATTTTTAACAAATACCTGACTGGGCTGCTTCTTGTAATGGTGACCCTAGTGTAATACACACATTCTTCCGCTAGCCTTTATTTTAAATGAAGCAAAAGTAATTCAAATCCCTCAGCAGAAAGCATTCCCACTACAGCTGGGCGGGCTCATCTGACTTAAGTGTTAACCTGGAAGCTGTGTACTGATTACACTGAAATAAATAGAGGCAGCTAATGTGACTTGGTGTTTCTGTGCTGGAATCAACTTTCTTCATTACTACACTCCAGTTATACGGATAGTTTCAAACAGCTCTTAATGACTTGCCTGCTCTGTTCAGTCATTAACGCTGTGCAATGAATAGAGGTAATGAGGGATTTCTGACAGATCCAATGTATATGCTTAAGCCGATGTTAGCAGTGTGCTGCTCTAGGCTACTGCATCTGCTGGAAATTTCAACGCTGTGCTGCTTGGAACTCGGCATCTCCACGTATAAATGAAGTGACTGTTATAAAAAACTACGAGACGTGTCAAAGAGATCCTTGAAAACTTTGGTAGTGGCTATTTGTGCTGTTCTTGTTTTGCAGACAAGACCAGCAGAATGACTCACAGCGAAGGGAACATTTGGTTTTTTTTATAAACCAGCCTGAGTCATGAGGTGAACTTGCCAATAAACCTCCCCGCCCTTGAAACTGGTCTTGACTCGCACAGAAGCGATGAGGGGAGAGAAGCCCAAGGCTCGTGACCTGTTCCATGGAGTACATAGCACTTGTACAAATTGGAGTCGCCTCAGGAGGGAAGTGCGTTCGGGACAGGCTGATTTGGGCACCAAATTGGGTAGAATGGGCCTTTGAAATGAAGGAGAGGGGTAACTTTTCTAGCCACGGCCTAGGGGAGAAGTTTTGCTTCCTCCAGCTCTGAACCCCCTCTTGAAACACCTCATTCTGGTCAGGCTCAGAGACTCTCGAGCATCCCCTTTTTTCCAGTGTTTCCTAGCAGACAACTTCAGTGCGGTGACGCTTCCGTGAATTGCGCACAACCCGTTCATAGCCTGATCACGCAACTCTTCCTCCTGGAGTGGGAAAAGTTAAGTCCTTTGCTGCGCTATTTTGATTCCTTTAGTGAAAAAGGAATAACTGCTCTACGTAGCAGAGCAACTGCTGAAAAGACCAAGTTACTGACTGCTGTCTGGGACTCGGAGAAGACGGGGTTGAAGATTGCTGCCCTAGTCCATAGGACCAGCGGCGGTACGCCGCTGGCCGCTTTCCCAAGTGCTCCATACAAATCGCAGGGCTCCTAGTCATCATTCCTTGGCAAAGAGATTCTCTGTCTCTACAGCAAGAACTCGGATACTTCCACATTTGAACTTGCCTTGCCGGAGGATGTCGTGTCTTTTGAGATCTTACTGAAAACCAATTTTACTTGTGAAAATACGTTTTATTACCTCAAAGTATTCATGTAAGAAGACACTTCTGTTACAGCCATATTAAGAGCACGAAGCTTGCACTAAAATTACACCGCTGTAGTTATATCATGGTGGGTGTGACGCTGGTGAGGGTGATGTCCCCAGCAATGCAGAGTTTGGTGATCGCGTTCAGCTGCTTCTCGCGGAAGCTGTACTGCAGCAAGTGAGCGTCGTTGACTGCTACCTTGAAGTGATCCACCTCGCAAAGGATCTGGAGCTGAAATAAAAACCCCAAAAGCTAACCGTCACATTTGTTCTAGGAAGAAGTTTTAAGCCCCAGACTTGAGCAGGCTGCTGCCAGCTGAGTCCAGCCCGGTGGTATGTGGATGAACTGGTGCAAGCAACGCAGCTGCAAAAACACCGGTGACCTTTGCCTTCCCCAAAGCCCTGCTCTACTCTTCCTCTTTTGTGTTTTAGCCCACAGTTCCTGTCTCCTCGTGACTACGATAGTATTTTCAAGGAGTATTGTACGGTTCACACAGCAAGAATGTTGGCACATTAAGATGGACTCAGGGTCGGGTTTTTTGGTACCTTGAAGGGTTTTCCAGCTTCAAATGGAAACCTAGGAGCTGTCCTCTCCTCCTTTCCCCAGTTATTCTGGAACATCGAATTACAGACGATGACTTTCCTGTTGTCTTCATTAAAGCGGGGATTGAAGTGGAAGGCAATGTCATTCCCTTTCTTGAAATCCAGTGAAAACCTGCAAAGACAATAACGGGTTCACTGTTTTTTTCACGAAAGCCCTGGGCTCTGTTACAGGACTTGCCAAAAGTAGCAGCAAGCTGGCAGGAAAAAAAACCCCACAGATCCCGTTGGGCAATGACAGGGCATTTACACATTTATTTTGTGTAATATTTGATTTTATACCACGCAGGTGTTATTCAGGAACAGAAAGCAAATTCCAGTTCCCTGCCCTGTCCAGCAGTGCCCCATGGAAACACCCCACCCTCGGTGCTGGACACCCCTGGTACCTGTTGGCGTTGGGGTTGATGGTCCCGGTGATGGTTATGAGCAGCCGAGGGAGGAGTCCTGCCTGCAGGGGCAGATCGAAGGGGACTTTCTGGGAGACAATGGGGATTTGGATTAGATTTGGATACATTGGATATTAGGAGAAATTTCTTCACGGAAAGAGTAGTCAAGCACTGGAACAGGCTGCCCAGAGAGGTGGTGGAGTCCCCACCCCTGGAGGTGTTAAAAAAACGGGCAGAGGTGGCACTTTGGGACATGGTTTAGTGGGCATGGGGGTGTTGGGTTGATGGTTGGGCTGATGATCTTGGAGGTCCTTTCCAACCTTAGTGATTCCTGAACCTTAATGATTCCCAGTTTTTACTTTCATTAAAAAACCAGCCAGCCAGCAAGCCAGGAAATATGAAATAATTATTACTCTCCCCTTAATTGGTTTAGTGGTGGAGTTGGCAGTGTTAGGTTAATGATTGGACTGGATGATCTTAAAGGTCTTTTCCAACCTAAACAATTCTATGATCTTATGATTTGCTGTTAGCAGAAAACCACATCCAAAGCCAAATAAATGCTCGGGCACAGGCTGGCTCTCGGTGTGACGACACACCAGGGCCGCCCCACGGCATGGTGACAACCCATGCCACCCTCCCCGGGGACAGCCAGCCCCAGGTCCCTCCCATGGCCAAGCCAAACCAGGCAGTGAAGACACAGAAACCCTTCTCGTACGACCGAGCTGTTACCATCGGAGGAGCCGGTCCCCCCTGCGGAGGAGAGGGCCCGAATCCCAGGGCCACTGGGCGGTTGTCCTGGGGCAGGATACAGCCCTGGTCCAGCTGGTGCTCCAGGGAACGCTCCGGGTGCTCCAGGATACGCTCCTGGTCCTCCAGGATAGGTCCCCGGGGGGCCGGGGTACGCCGGGACCCCCCCGGGAGCCGGCGGCTGGGTCCCAC